GCTAAGGCCTCACCAGTGCTGAGTAGAGCGGGACAGTTGTCTTCTCAAGTCTTACATACAATGCTCCTGTTAATACAGTCCAGAATGATGTTTGCCTTTTTCACAACTGCACTATTCATTCAATTTGTGATCCACTACTGTATAGCAGTGGTTCTCAACCAGGGGTATGCAAACCCCAGGGGGTACGCAGAGGTCCTCCCAGAGGTACATCAACTCATCTAGATATTTGCCTACTTTTACTACAGGCTACATAAGCACTAGTGAAGTCAGTACAAACTAAAATTTCATAAAATGACTTGTTTATACTGCTCTATTTACTATACACTGAAATGTAAGTACAATATTTATATTCCAATTGATCTCTCATTTTTACTGTATAATTATGAAAGTAAGCAATTTTCAGTAATAGGGTGCTGTGACACTAATTTTTGTCTGATTTTGTAAGCAAGTAGTTTTTAAGTAAGGTAAAACTTGGGGAAACAAATCAGACTCCTGAAAGAGGTACAGTAATTTGGGAAGGTTGAGATCCACTGCACTATAACACCCAGATCCTTTTCAGCAGTACTGCTGCCTAGCCCAGTTATTCCTCATTTTGTATTTGGGGATTTGAGTTTTCCTTCTTAAGAGCAGTATTTTGCCCTTGTTTTTATTGAATTTCGTTTTATTGATTTTAGACTAATTCTCCAAATTGTCAAGGTCATTGACAATTTTAAGATTGCCCTCCCAAGTGATGGCAACCCCTCCTAGCTTGGTGTCATCTGCAGATTTTATGAGCATACTCTCCACCCCATTACCCAAGTAATTAATTCATCACCACATTATCAAATCCAGAGCACCTCCAGTGATCACAAAGTCCTGGCAAGTGACAGAAGAATCACACCCATAGTATTCTTATTTTCTGGAGACTGGATGGCTGAAGGAATTGTTGACAGGATAAGAAGTTTAGTTTTCTGCTTCAAATCCATCTTGAATTAGCAGTAACTGAAAATTATCACCTCCTGATGGATGTGTTACAAAAAAAAAAAAAAGTTTGACTGTTTCTGGCCAATTTTCTAGCAGATAAGAATCCACATAGCAAGAACTGTGATTCATCATCATGGTTGGCAATCTTGGCAAAGAAGCTAAGGACTAAAATAGGCATGGAGACTCAGTTAATATTGCTATAACACGCAGAAGCCCCAGTTAAGCTTGAAACACAATGGTGGAAGTGTTGCAGGGAAACATGCTGCCACTGCTCATGCTGTACCTATCCTGGATACAGGAAACAATAAAACGGATACGCAGTTATAAGCACTTCCAAGTTGCATGCTATTGGAACTAGGTGCCTTCTATAAGCAGCTCAGACACTGGACTATCTGACTGAAGTAAAGCTTCAGAAAAGCAACATGGTAAATTAAAACACACATTGCCATGAGTATGACTTCGTTAAAATCAGTGTTAGAAGGGGCTGCAAGGGTCATCTAGTCTAACCCCCTGCCAAGATGCAGGATATGTTGTGTTTAAACCATCCAAGACAGATGGCTATCCAGCCTCTTTTTGAAAACCTCCAGTGAAGGAGATTCCACAACTTCCCGAGGCAGTTTGTTCCATTGTCCTACTGTTCTTACAGTTAGGAAGTTTTTCATGAGATTTAATCCAAATCTGCTATGCTGTAGGTTGAACCCATTACCTCTCGTCCTGCCCTCTGCAGCAAGAGAGAACAACTTTTCTCCATCTTTTTTATGGCAGCCTTTTATTTATCTGAAGACCGCTATCCTTTTGCTACCTCCAAGATCACAAACCTTCCTGGAGGCACTGCTGAACCAATGTTTACCTTTGAACAGAAGGGGGGTGGGATCCGGGAACCATATGTCACCTGCATATCCCAGGTGGACAAACATTTCCCATTGCACAGCAGTACAATGGTGTCCCAAGGTATAGATGTGCTGCTTGGAAACCTGCAATTATAGGAAATCCTCCATTACTTGCTACTTACAAATTGATAATAACATGTGCCATGGTTAGACTGAGTCAGAACATGGTATTATGCAGAGTTAACACCTGTCTGATCCAGGAAAAACCCTCTAGTAGCAACTTGGGTTTGTAAAGTTTCTTTTTTTCATGACAAAGTTTAAAACGGAAATCTACCTCAAAAATAAAAAAACATTTTATTTTAGATTGAAAAGTTCAAAGTGAAAATAATTTATCAAAAAAGTTAAAACTTCACAAAACAATCTGATTTCTTCAAATAATTTGTCAAAACCAAGTTGACAAAAAAAAAAAGTGTTGCTTTGCCCAGTTCTAATTGCAAGAATGAACTTGCAACCTTGCAATGTTTATAAAAAAGAAACAAGCAAAC